AAGTAATGTAGGTTACATTAGAAATTAATTGGGATGGGGTCTGGAGAAGCAGATGGAGTTTGTTGCTATGGGTGACAGCCAGATTCATGTTACTTTTCTGCCTACCCTGTTTGGGAGATTGTTGAGGTCAAGGTTGAAAAAATTTAGGACAGATTTTAGGGCGGGTAGCCAAATGCAGAGAGCATAAGACTTTGATTTTAATCTTGGATTTAAGTGAATCAAATTGAAAAGTCAATTCTTCTGGATCTGCATTCTCTCATCTAGAAAAGGGGCTCACAAAAGCTGGCATGAAGTGTTGTAGTGAGGACTTGAAACAAAAAGCAAAACCACAGATATAGGGACTGTCATTAAGAGGCATTTTTTAATTTTGTTTTTGTTTTTTGAGACAGGGTTCCTCTGTGGCTTTGGAGGCTGTCCTGGAACTAGCTCTTGTAAACCAGGCTGGTCTCGAACTCACAGAGATCCGCCTGCCTCTGCCCCAAGGCATTTTTAAAAAGATTATTATTTTATTGTATGGAGGTGTTTTGCCTGCATGTTTATCTGTGCACTACATGCCTGTAGTGCCTGTGGAAGTCAGAATAGGGTGTTAGATCCCCTGGAACTGGAATTACAGAAATATCTGAGTGGCTGTGAAAGTGCTGGGAACTGAATCCAGTTCCTCAACCACTGAGCCATCTCTCCAACCTCCATCCAGTAGGATGTCCTTGATATTTGGTATCGAGCATTGGTTGTACAGCAGACTTATAATGAATCAGGTACAAAGATAGTGAGAGACAGACTATTCCAATTTCTGAGGACAGATGTGGTCTAGCACCCTGGAGAGCTCCGTTTGAAGGCCAACGGCTGTGCCTGTGGAATGCTGGAAGACTTTTCTCCACTAAGACTCCAGAGCTGGGAAGTCTTTGTTGGGAATTTTTCTCGTATTATGATTAGTTTGATACCCATGAATCTGGAGACCTCATTGTTCACCCAAGAATATTTATATTCTGAGTCAGAAGGAGAAAGTATATCTTCTAATTTAATTGAAGTTTTCATGAGATCCCCCAAACTAAGCAGCAGTAGTTTAGGTAGAGATGAATAAAAATAACAAGGAAGTGTTAATATGTCCACTGCTAGGTATGGTTTCTAGTTCTCTGTGTTGAAACATTAGATGCCTGCATAGTGATCTGGTTTTGCTTATTGTTGTTTTCCAAAACAGGCGACTTAAAGCAAACAGTTGCTTTTCACTGAGCTTAATTTTTTGAATACTTGTGTGTGTGTGTGTGTGTGTGTGTGTGTTGTATTAGTGTGCATGCATGCATCTGCATGCCACAGCATACATGTAGAACTTGGAGAATAACTTTCAGGAATCAATTCTGAGGCTCAGTCATCAGGCTTACATAGGAAGTGCTTCTGCCCACTGAGTCATCTGACCAGTCATCTAGAACATTCATTGCACAGTCTGAAAATGGAAGTGACCATAATCTGTTTAATGTAGTATTTACTCTGTTGCAAAGCCTGTGCTGTGTCCTGAAAAGCTAACCAGTGAGTTAGACACTGACAGACCTGTCCTGGCCTGCCTGGCTTGAGCTTCTATCTCATCCACAAATAAATTCACTCCATTGATTTTTTTTTAATCTATGGTGTAGAAGACATTTTAATTTTATACATGCAGAGTTAGGGAAAAATATTACAAAAAAGCAGGCATGATGGCATACACCTCTAATTCCAGTACTTGGGATGAAGATAGTGAGTTCTAGGCTAGCCCAGGCTACCTAGTAAAGCTCTGTCTCAAAACACAAAATGAAGCTAAACAGCAAGAAAGCTAAGTAAAATAAAGCAACTCTGAAGTCTGAAGATTAGCAGAGATTTAGCAGGTAAGTACTCTTTGTATACTTAAGTACAATGGTGTTCTCAACTCAGTTCTTAAAGGCACAGGGTAAGAAATACAGTGCTAACTCCAAGTATCTGGTCCATGGTTGTGTTCATCTCCAATATGGGCACTACTTAGTGTGATCATTGTCTTTCACTGTCAGTTCCACTACTATGGAGTCAGCTAGGAAATAAACTCCAGGATGTGTCTGTGAAGACATTTCCAGAGTGGCTTAACTGAGGTCACACACACCCTGACTAAGGGGGCAGCACCATCTCATAGGCTAAATAAGAAGGAAGAAAGGAGGAAGCCATGTGGACATACCATTATCCCTCTTCTTGACAATGGCAACCATGTGACCACTTGCCCCACCCTTCAGCCGCTATGGCTGCATTACCATGATGGGCTGTGTTCTCAAACTGTGAGCCTTTCCGGAGTTTTGAAGTATTTTTTATCACAGCAATGAGAAACATAGCCAAATGTGCATAGACACACAGTAACAGTAGCTACAAAGTGAGAAAAAGGCTCAACTCTCCCTAAGATCTGTCTACACAGCTTTACAGTGTGAAAGGTAAGATGGGAACTTCCTCCCTAATGCCTTTGGATTATATCTCCTCATTCATTTCCCTCCCACTTGCTCGTTTGAGAGCAGAGAATGTCTCACACAATGTGGTATTTATTTCTGTATACCTAGTCTGTAGACCTTTGAATTACAAGTGATAAGCAATTTAATAAAATTAGAGCAACACCTGACTTTACAGACATACGTGTTAACAGGAGACATATTTTTTGTTTGTTTATAACCAGTAAGTTAGCCAGGGAGTAACAAGGTAATTGTGGGCTACATTAGCAGAAGATGTGGACACTGGGCAATAAGAAAATTCAGTGGGTGAATTCCCAAGCACTATTTACTATTCTAGATAGCACTTGTAATGAGAGATGGCAAAACTAGAGATTATCCAAGGAAGAATGAACAAATGGGTGGCAGGACAACGTAGGGGTTGGTGGCATCCACTTTGGAGTCAGACTTGATCAATTCCAGTCTTTGACACTTACCATGTCACCCCAGAGGAGTCATTCAATCTACTCAGTTTTCTCACCTAAATCCTGAAACTAATAACAGCATCTCTTTCATGGACTGGCAAGGATTATAGCTATGAAGATATATTTTGATTTACATTAAAAAAGTGGGATTTTGTCAGAAATGTTGAAGATTTGGGAATTGGGGTTGGTGTAAATAGGAGATGATATCTATCTCTAAGTGTTTGAATGGACATCATTGGAAAGATTTACTAGAATTATTTTCATTAGATTCAAATGACAGAATTCAGCCAGCAAAGAATAAGATGAAATAGCTTCAACATATTACCATTTTTAAAAATATAATGCAAATTGTTTGAAAGCAGAACTCAAGCTTCTAACCAGGTGGTCGTGTTTAGACTGAAGCAAGTTCAAGTGGCTGATTTCCATGTCTTGGGATTGATGCAGAGGGGGGCCCTGTACCAGTCATTGGCTAAGTGAATTTTGACTCTTAGGGGCTCTAGACTGTGCCTGAGAATAATCTAGGGGTCGGGAATCACTGCTTGACAAGCACCTTGATTCTGATAAGCCAGTCTCTGGGTGGGTGTTTCACCCCAATGGGACTGGAGGGTGGGGGCTCCTTTTGCCTGTGTTAGGCGAAGATTGAATTCCGGTGTGAAAGTTCTTCAAGCAGAGACAGGAAAACAAGTAAGGAAGGCTGAGGGTGGCCTCAGTTCATGAAGTTTACGAAGCAAACAAAAGTTCTGAATGTGTTCCCCAGCACCACAAAAAAAATGGGTGTGGTGCCTACTTTTAATCCCAGCACTCAGAGGGTGGAGGCTGAAGGAGCCCTGCTACAATAGAAGCATCACTCAGAGGTTCAAAATCAAGGTCATCCTCAGCTATATGGCTGGTCCCAGGCCACCCAAGGCTATATGAGATCTTTTATCAATAAAAAAGAAGAAAAAAAGAAAGGAAAAAAAACAAGCATCAGGCATATTGTGGAGTTACTCAGTTAGAAGAAGTTGTTGTGTTAAGGAGTGCAATGAGAAGGCAAGGCCAGTGTGTGGAGAGCTTTGGGAGCTAGTGAGAGAATTTGCAGGTCACCCAGTTAGGTTTCTGTGACAAATGAAGCAACAAGCACTTACAAAGAATCTCTTTGTGGAGGGATGAATGAAATGATGAATAAAAGCAATTGCAGACCTATTATCCTCCTGTCTCTGTTGTGGTTTGATGTAAAGTGACCCCCACAGGCTCCTGTGTTGAACGCTTAGTCTTCGGATGGTGGTAGTGTTTTGGGAAGTTGTGTAACCTGGATAAGACGGGTCCTAGCTGGAGAAAGTGGGTGACTGCTCTGTGTGGAAGTGGGGATCAGGTTTATAGCTGAGACCCACGTTCTGTCTCCTCTCTGGTTCCTGATCCTCCCAGATTCAAGCACACTCCAGCCTTCTGCCTTCCCAGCCACAATGGACTGTATTCCTTTAAACTGTGAGCCAAACTAAATGTTTCCGTCTTCATTTGCTTAAGGCAGATATTTTATCACAGCATGGTACAAATGACTAATGCTCTCGGTGTTCTCAAGCTTGGATGCTGGAACTTGGGTTGTCACCTTGTCATCATGCCAATGCTAAGCTTAATTATATAATGTGTGGCTAATGACCCAAGACCTTAATGCTCCCTTCCTTTCATAGTATACAGGAAGGTGGGGGCATTCTGTGAAATCGTTCTCCCAGCCCTAGTGGACACAGGAAGCACTTAGAGATTCTTTCAACACAAAAGTGACAAATCACAGGACTGGAAACCACTGGCCAAAGTTTTCTCTGAAATGACGAGTTGTTTTGCCTATGGTGAACCCAGCTTCTGGCAAGTCAGCACTTCTGTTTTTCTCTCAAGGCAATCCTTAAGTTAATTAGCTGCAATTATTAGCCCTGCTGCAGCAGAGTACACAGTAACAAAGGAAGGAAATGAAGGCACCAGGGAGAAGCAGTTGAGTGTTCTGCTAATGGTTAATGGCCACACTGACAAATCAAACCCCATCCTAAACCCCTCCAAAGCCCAAAGCAAAACTGACCCCAGAACACAGAGAGAACAAAGGACAATTTGAACTGAAAAAAAAATGTGTACTTACACAGTGTTTTCTCTAGTCTCCTCCCACATTCTGAGGCTAGGAGATGTCCCTGAAGATGGATTCCTGTGGGAACGGATCAGAGCAGGCAAGAAGAACAATGAGGTTTGTTGGATGCTCTATTTGGGAGACTTCTCTTATTAGATGTGTGATTTGGGGCCAGTCGGTTTCATTACTGTGGAATGAAGATAGAGACACAAAATTCAAAGGGTATAGCAGCCTTCTATGCAAAGCACTCATGGATAGCCCTGTTCGTTAAATTAGATACAGGAAACTGAGTTCTCCCTGTGACTGAATCAAGCCTAGGAAGCCGTATTGTTAATAAACATTTGTATGATTTTGGTGAAGTTTTTTCTCACTGCACTTGGAGATGGGTCTACCTGTAAGCTAGTACCTCACTCTACCAAATACACCAATTAAGTGAACTACCTTATTCTACCATAATCACCAAGTCTGATCTCAAGTCCCTGGTATTCACTTTAGTATGACACGGGAGGCAGCCCAACTAAATAAACTCATCCTAACTGAGAATAACTGATAGTATCTGCAAATTTTCAGTTACACTTTCCAAAGAAGACTTGCAACCAGGTTAGAGATGGGTTGATTTGTGGATGCACTCATGTATTGAGGACAAACATGTATTGATATCACATAATGACCTGGACATTGGTGATACAAAGGAGAATGCTTCTTTTGCAGATGCCTAAGAAGCCAGGGGTGCTGTAGGAATATGTCCACATTTCCTATGATTTCAAAAGTTATCTCACTTAGTGATAGCTTTATGGAGATTGGCTGCCATCCTGTCTACCCTTTAGTAAGATGTCTACAATTGGAATAAAGTCAACCTCAAACCATAAGAAAAACATTTCTATTTTCAATGTGCTTCTTCACATTAGAATTAGAGAAAAGAAAGCAGGAAAGCAGTTTATGGACTGTAGGACAGGTATTCAGAGGTCAACAAGAGAGTCACCAACACAGTGTTGGGGGAGTCTAGAGACTGAGGACAGATTGTGTTGAGAAGGGAATACCTCATCTTAGCCTTGGAGCTATGAACATTCCAGACTCTGAAACACGCAAAGCTAAACCACAATGAAAACATGTCAGAACCTTTGAGTTTGTTGAATTAAATTAATCACAATACATAACACACTTCCACGGAAGGACGGTGAGGTAATAGCAAGAACTGAGGCTGAATGGGTGGGTGCGATTCTATGGCTGTGACAAACACCATGACCTAAAGCAACTTCGGGAGGTCTGAATCTATTTCAGCTTATAAATTACAGTCTGTCACGGAGAGAGGTCAGGGAGAGCTCCAGTAGGAACTTGAAGCCGAGACTGTTTGATATTCCATACATCATTATCTCCAACTGAGGAACTCTCATAGTCAAGGACATGGACAAGCAGAAACTGGAGGGATGCTGCATGTTGGTCCACAGAGTTTTAGCCTGCCTTCATATACACAGCCCAGGATCATCCTGCCAGAGAATTGTGCTGCTTACAGTAAGTAGAGCCCTCCTCTATCAATCAATCACCAAGGTCCTCACTTCCTTTCACAAGCATGGCATTCTTGTGTAGGAATGTTCCATATAGGTTCACATGTCTCTCGCATCACTGAACCAGGCTGTAAAGTTTGTAGATCTAGAGCACAAGCTCCGGGCACTTAGGGAAGTTTTGAGCTTACAACATCTGACCTTTGAATGGAAACAGGTATTTTGTTTTCTTTTTTTAAAGATTTATTTATTATGTATACAGCATTCTCCTTGCATATATGCCTGCAGGCCAGACAGGGTACCAGATCTCATCATAGATGGTTGTGAGCCACCATGTGGTTGCTGGGAATTGAACTCAGGACCTCTGGAAGAGTAGTCAGTGCTCTTAACCTCTGAGCCATCTCTCCAGCCCCCAGAAACGGGTATTTTCTATAGAGTATAAGTCCTCTGAACAGCTCAGTGTAGTGAATGGAATGGCCAACAAGAAAAGCTACCTCAAACAAGTGCAACTACATATCAACCAAGTGCAACTATACACCTCCGCTTAAATGATGCTGTATGAAACTGGATAAGGTTGACTTGGAGACCCTGGGAAGCCTTATCAATGTGTATTTTTGGCAACCATAATATAAAAAGTTACATTAAGAATAGCATGTAGAGTGGAATAGAAAGGCACCTTGGTGGCCTGAGTTCTGGCAGTTAGCAGGCCAAGTGCCATGCTACCAGAGGATTAAAACAATCCTGTGTGTGTATGTGCGTGTACATGTATGTGTGTACATGTATGGAGGTCAGAGGATAACTTCTGTGTCAGTCCTTGAGACTGTGAATACTCCTGATTCTGCCCCGTCCCATCTTGCCACAGGAGAGCTGAGATTTCAGGTGTCCACTATGGTGCCAAGCTTGTATGACCTCTGAGGACCAGAGTCACATCCTCACATCATGACAAGTGCCTTCACCACTGAGCCATATCCTCAGCCTCCAATCAGAACACTAATCATTTCTATTTGTCATTGCATTCCTGGTTTGGACTGCTGGACCACGAGGATCCTCCCTAGCTCTGACAGCCTCCGATGTCCAAGCCAACACAAAATCCACCTTTGTGAGCCAGAATGTGGGAATGGGCCTGGCAGCTCATGCTCCCTAGAGAATACTTTTAAGTCTTGGTTTGTGAGCTTGACATTTCTTGGGGATGGAAAAATCCTTAAAGGAGAACATATGATATAGTCTCAGAATGAGAGTGATGAGTGCTCCAGCTCCACCGTACAGTCTCCCAGAAATGGTGCAAGACAAAAATCAGTCCATGCTATTCATGCCTTCCCACCGCAAGCAGCGTCCAAACACACTTTAGTCACGATTTGGAACACTCCGTTGTCAGCTGCCAGGGGTGCACTAGGTAGGCATATATAAATTCACTTAGATTCAGAAAGTGAAAAACAGTGCAGCTGACAATACGCTGAATATATATATATGTATATTATATATATATCAGCAGGAAATGAAACAAAATAGTAGAGTACAAACTGAGTAACAGGATTGTGAATGCCTTCCATCATTTTTCTCACTGTTTCCCAGATGAATAAGCATTTCTTTCACAATAAAAAAAAACACGCCATGAAAGTAATGTCAGTGTTGAATAAAAAGACACAAGCAGTGTACCACAAACTACCAGGAGAGCAACATCATCTCTTTCTTTGCCTTGTCTGCATTTTTCAAGATTACCTTAACAAACACATATTAATTTTGGAAGAGAAAACAGCAGTTGGGGTTGGCGAGGCTGTTCATGCCCAATTCACACTCTTTTTCTCTTACAGTTCGTAGAGAACGTCAGTGTTCCTAATAAAATTCTGCCTCTTCCTCCTTCCTTGCAGACGGAGGCAGACTTTTGCTTAAGGACTGCTTAGTGAAATGTAAGCAGACACACTGGGGGTCCCTGGTCTAACTCAGCTGGCCCATGCCTGTTTGCCTTACTTTTCATTCCTTCACTTGTCAGGACCTCAGAATTCAAGTTTGGAACTGTAGTGTCCAAAGTCCACTAAGAAAGAACCCTAAAGACACTGACACACACACACACACACACACACACACACACACACACACACGGACAGACTGGGGAGCAGAGAGGCAGTGACCTGGGATGCAGGAGCCATCTTGGATGCTGTGAACTCAGAGCTTCTGAAACAGGTCCCTGCCAACAATGAGCTGGCTGCAGGAGACAACAAATGCTACCCCGTGTTTCAACCAGTGTATCCTGTTCATTCTCCTTTCTTTCCTTCCTCCTTCCATTTTCTTCCTCCTTTTCTTGATTCTTCCCTCCCTCCCTCCCTCCCTCTTCCCTGTTTCCTTTCTGTCTGATTATTGTTGTTTATCTGTTTGTTTGTTGTATGGGGGGCTGAACTGAGGACCTCATACATTCTATGCAAACGCTTTCTGAGTGAGTGACATCCTCAAGGTCTGATTCTTTATTATATCTGAGCATACTTTTAAAACAAATACAACCATTTTTTAAATGAAAGCAACATACACTTCAATTCATTTAAAAACTAATGGTTTTCGTGGAACTGCAATGAAATTTACTTAAAATAAGAATACAAGGCAATGTTCTAAAAATTAAAGATTGTCTGAGGCTCCAACGAATCTCACATGTTTCATATTGTGAACACTCCCCGAATGGTGGTGAGCTCATTACTTTTGCATTTTGGAACATATTTGTTAATATACCCTAGCAACTAGAAAATCAATGTACCACCATATGCCTAAGCTGGGACCATTTGTCATGGTTTGCATTCCCTCTAAAGAGAGCCAGACAGACCTTGACTTGAAGAAGCTCCAGCATGGGGGATAGTTACTTGAAATGTCAAACACAAAACACACTAGCAAATGCTGGGGGTCAGGGATGTGGGGGGAGTTAATTCTGATCTGCTGAAAGGAGGACTCAAAATTCTTTTGACACTTCCTACTGCTGTTCACCAATCAATGACGTCACAGCTCTGCATGGGTTTTCAGGACCCATCTTCCTGTCACTAGTGGATTCATTCTAGAAGCAAGAAGAAAGGCCAGGAGAAAGAAAAGCTGCAGGATCACACACACCCATGAGCAGGAACAGCCTTGGGAAGCTGCTAATGAACTTTCCTCCCGTGCTCTTTATGCAGCTGGCAGGAGGCCCTACTCCTCCCAGGAAGACAAAGGCTTGCCTTGATTTAGAATCCAGAACTTAAGCTCCAGGCTGCAGCCCCAAGATCTAGTTGACCACTTTAGTCTTTGAACTCTTCTTGTCACTGCACCTGGGGAGGGTCAAATGACCACTGTGGTGGCTGCCACTCACTTTGTCTCACAAATTGCAAAACCATAAACTGCCAACCCCTCCCACCACACAGACACAGATACAGACACAAGACACAGACACACACCCTCCTCTTTGCCTAAGGACAGGAGGCTGAAGCATCCCAGATGCCTCCCTGCTGGTCCTGCAGCAGTTCATTTTTATGGGGTAGTCATTCTCATTCAGTAAAAGAAACAAAGTTATCACCAAAGAATGGAGACTCAATGTTGTGTTCAGCCCTGTATGAGGTATTTTGTGTGTGTGTGTGTGTGTGTGTGTGTGTGTGTGTGTGTGTGAGAGAGAGAGAGAGAGAGAGAGAGAGAGAGAGAGAGAGAGAGAGATCACACATGTGTGGGAGATTACTCA